GTGATCAATTTATGATGAGATCTTCAGATAGCAAAGACATGGATTGGCAAGTGTTGGCATCAATTGATTTGAACGGATTGAGCGATGACTTAGAGGACAATAAACCACTGGTCACTCAATTGGCAACTTATATAGCATTTCACTCTTTGGATAAACATTTCGTATGTATTCAATGCTTACATTTATTTTATACACAATAATTACGCTATGCTTGCAGTAAACCATAGAATCGCCAGAATATAATACTAATTTCATATCATATGATACTGTACAATTACTTGAAGCTAACTTGAAGCTAACTTTTACTGCACTGATTAAATTATCTTGCTAATAATTTATAATTTTATTAATTCATTGCACATTTTTAAATAAATTTTGAAACTTTTCTGTTTTATATTAAGTGAATAAGGGTCATTACAATATTTATTTAATAATACTGCATGTTTGAAAAATAAGAACTTTACTAGAATTTGTACCCTGAATATCAGAATGAGAACATTTATATATAAACTAATTAACAGAATATAAAAATAGATCAAATGCTAACACATGTTATGCGTTATAGGAAACCCAACATATAGATGAAAATGTGGTCAAACTGTTCAAAGTGTCTCAACTTATTCTCAGACAACTATTAAATGAATCGAAAGGTTCAGAACCCGGTACCAAACATCAATTGTCTCCAATCAGTGATCGCATTATGTTTTGCTAATATATGGGCGGAGACTACACCCGAAGACATGAATGATACTAATCTCCAATAGAAAAACTTATCTAAAATTATGAATGAATCAAATGAATATTAAATAGATTACTATTATGACATAATTCACTATTAGTGCTTATGGGACCACAAGAAATATTTTAAGAAACCGTAGGCTAAGCCTGTAAGCAAAGTATTCGCTTGCTTACTTTATTTTAGGTAACTAAAATTAGTATAAACTTACGGCCTTTTAATATGATTGTTGTGAATATTAGTCAATTAGTTATCATTACAACAAATATGAAACAAAAAGTTTCATGAAATCATTGTCACATACATTGAGACGTTGGGGATCTTTACAGACATCAGGTTTAATGATGGCTAATGTCAGCTCTAGTGGTGGTTTGACCACAGATTTGATGGTTTGATACATGGCTTGACTCAATGGATAACAACCAAAACTATTCAAAACTTGTATCCAAAAGTGTGGTCACAGAATATTCTGTGTACTAATGAATGGTTGCTATTGACTACACATTAAAGTTATGTTTTGTTTTGATTTCATATACGAGTGATTCACACCACTTATCACCGAAAATAGTGATCAATTTATGATGAGATCTTCAGATAGCAAAGACATGGATTGGCAAGTGTTGGCATCAATTGATTTGAACGGATTGAGCGATGACTTAGAGGACAATAAACCACTGGTCACTCAATTGGCAACATATATAGCATTTCACTCTTTGGATAAACATTTCGTATGTATTCAATGCTTGCGTTTATTTTATACACAATAATTACGCTATGCTTGCAGTGAACCATAGAATCGCCAGAATATAATACTAATTTAATATCATATGATACTGTACAATTACTTGAAGCTAACTTGAAACTAACTTTTACTGCACTGATTCAATTATCTTGCTAATAATTTATAATTTTATTAATTCAGTATTCATTGCACATTATTTAATAAATTTTGAAACTTTTCTATTTTATATTAAGTGAATAAGGGTCAATACAGGATTTAATAATACTGTATGTTTGAAAAATAAGAACTTTACTAGAATTTGTACCCTGAATATCAGAATGAGAACATTTATATATAAACTAATTAACAGAATATAAAAATAGATGAAATTCTAACACATGTTATGCGTTATAGGAAACCCAACATATAGATGAAAATGTGGTCAAACTGTTCAAAGTGTCTCAACTTATTCTCAGACAACTATTAAATGAATCGAAAGGTTCAGAACCCGGTACCAAAAGTAATAACAATTTGATACGAGAAAATAAAAAGTTGCGAAAGTTGTTGGAAATTCACCAAAAGGCCATGACTTATAACCAGACACTGAATGGTGAATACGTTCAGTGCCCTCACTGTCCAAAAGTCTTTTTCGATACAAGTTTTCTCAAAACACATTTCGCGAAAAGACATCCAAACGAGTCACTCGATTCCGAGGGTATGATGTCGTTGACGAAGAAGATTGACAAATACCAGACAGCGCTCATCGGAGACACTAAACATTTGGATCAATTGAAGTCTGAGTTACAAAATCTGACACAAAAGTTGGCTAAAACTGAAGTGGATTTACAGCAGGAGAGGGACGAGAGGATCAAATTAGAGGAACACATAGAATATGTGCTGAAAGTGAGAGACAAAGAGATGCAGCAAATGATGAGAGAAGAGTTGGAAGAATTCAAGTTTGTTCAGAGAGAACATGACATTCAAAGCAATTATTTGCAGACAAATCGCGAAGACTTAAGAGATGACAGAAACACAAGTGTCGGTAAAAATGAGGACAAAAGTGTAAAACCATTGGAAGTGAACAAAATTGAGGAAATCATTGCAATTCAGGCAAAAGAAATGATTAAATTAGGAAATAATGTCCAAAAACTTGTCTCTCATTTAACGGACACATCTAAAGAGGATATTAAAGAGAGACAAAGTATAAGACCATTGGTTGAAGACTTGAAGTCATTTACAAAGGAAATTAAAACTAAAAGTGAGTCTGAAATGAGAAAAGAATTAATAAATAAAATGAGAAAAACGAGTGAAAACAAAGTTATTTCTGACACCAATCCAAAGAGAGATATCAATGAAAAAACTCTTGAAATCAAAAACCAAATGATAAGACCGAAAGAACCAAAAGACTTTGTGGACGAAGTAATTAATAATTTGAATGAAACATTAAATTCTTATAAGATTGACATCAATAGCACCGGTATTTCTGAAGAACAATACTTCATGTCTATGGAAAAGTTAAACCAAGAAAGGGGTCTTTCTATACAACAAAACAGATATGATTACAGTTATGAAGACATTGAGCAACACATCAGGAATTTTGTGGATAAAAAAGTTGGCGACAAAAGCTCTGGAGATGTGATTAAAACAAATCCAATGATTCCTAAGACTAAGGAGAGAAAGCAAATGACAGAAAAGCGCACAGAAATTGAGACTCAAAACCAAAGGACTGTCTTCAAGCATTCAATTGAAGCGGTTGTACACATCTCCCCAACCACTGAACCTTACCATACTTTAGCTCAAGAAGTGGAACCAATTGAACAAAAAGTAGAACCAATTGAGCCAATAGTCGAAGTGTTGAGGAATGAGCCGCAAAGTGGTAAACCCCTCAAATCAATCATAAGCGATAAGAAATCCATTAGAGATAATGACACGAAGTCTAAAGAGAGACGAATTCGCTTTAATGATCAACGAATTGAACACCAAATAAGTCCCGAGGAATCGAGCGAAGACACCAGTAGTGAAGAGTACGGTCCTGTAGTTTCGGACAACACTACTAACACTACATACGTGTCCTTTGATGCAAACCAGGCATCCGTGGCTCCCATTCCCGCCCGAAGGACACAGAAAACCGATTTACAGCTCGATTTACAATCAGAACCAAAGAAGTTAATGGACGAAGACGCGAGCGAAGACACCAATTATGAAATCGATGACCAGTTAATGGCAGAGATATTGGACACAAACCCATCGGTAACTAATAGTAAATCAAGCGATGGTCAGTCAAGGAGTGGTGTCGACCCTCAGACGCCCACTAAAGTCCATGAGTTGGCACAACTGATCCAAAAACAACTCAACAGAAGGAGTCAGACAAATATGAAGCCACCGATCGGTTCGGTGAATGTCATGACTGCAGACAAAAGCCATTCAAATAAAATCACAGACCCACTCAGACCTGATGTCGATTCAGACAGCGATTGATTCAACTTGTAATTGATTAATCAATTTATTATAGTTTATTCAAACAATTACATGAAATCAAATATCCAAATATTAAGTGCAAAAATAATTTACATTTTAATTAAAAATCAAGACATATTTAGTCGTATTGCTATTCACTGTAAACATAAGTCATTAATAATTATAAAGAAAAATGAAATGAATTTAAATTCAAATGAAAAGGAGTTATCAATTAGTACTCAATTATAATAGTGTTTAGCAAACAGATTGTTAGTCTTTGGCATAAATCCATTCGTTCTCCTTATGAATGGCCGCCTCTTCCTCGGGAGTGAAGTCGTTGTGAATCTTCAACATCTCCCGCACTTCAGTGCATGACTTGCCCTTAATCTTGTTGCAGATGTGCTTCGCGCCCACTTCGACCAAACCCTTGATGTCCATGAAGTTGGCGGCGGCGATGATGTCGAAGAGCTCGCCCTGATCTGCGATATCTATGAACTGCTTATCCCAATGCGACAGCTCTTCGTTGCGGCGCTCCTTCTCGTCATCGAAGTCGGGATCAATTGGCGGGTCATCCCAGTGGTGGTCCACCCACTCGACGATCTTCTCCAACGCCTTGTTAGTGACCGCATCGTTCTGCAGAGGAATGGGTTCTCTGGTGGCGATCTTCGTCAGGTCGGTCTCCTGCAGTGCGTCCAACATATTGGCCACCATTACAGACATCTTGGCGGCGGTCAGTCCGCACTCATAGACACCGCCTTCAAAGCTCTTGAGCTTTATCTTAATCTTGTTTTCCTCCTCTCGCTGTCTCTCGAGAGCCTCTTCGGCGTCGTAGTCATCGACGGCATTGTTGGTCGGGGGGTCTCCTGAGGCGGCCATACCTTCAGTGGTGTCCAACGAGTACTCACTGAAAGACTTGTGAAATCAAAATGAAGTCTCGATTGCAATGAAGGCTGCAATGAGTGACTGTTTATGCGTTCAATGCTTTCGTAATTAACAATGCGCTCAACAGCTCCACAACGATATGAAACGCAATGCTGTGAAAAGCAATGCTTTTATAACATTGCAGGCAATGAGTGCTCAAAGACACGACACCTAACAGCCACTCAATGCAACTCACAGACATTGCAGTCAACACAGCATTTCACAGCCCATTGGATACCCATTCATATGACAATTACACTCATCACCAGTAATGTGACAAAACTTTTCTGTACTTTAACTCATATCTGATTTAATCAGGGTTTTAATTGTACACCTTTACTATTGGTTACTAATGGCAAATGGGGCGCACAGGGGTTACAGTGACTGCACAGTAAGTCAAGACGACAACTCACGTGTTCATGACTTCCCATATAAAGAGTTTATAAGTTTTAAAAGATTATTGAATAAATCAGTATTAATCAGTGTCTCATGGAAATACTTGCATAATTTGCATATTAATTAAATGAACCAAACATGTATCATATAACCTTGGTACAGTATTACAGGAATCCGGCAATAACTTCGTATAAATGAAAGTTTTACTTACGTTTTGAAAAACAGCTAATATTACATAAAAGTTTTCATAATACTGTATTTATTTGTACAATGAAATGCTTAAAACATAATTGAAAAACTATTAAATATTTTTGTAATATGCAATATTTTTAATTTTAAATACCATAATATATTCAGGGAGAATTTGATAAATCTGGTTTTCTACCAGATTCTTGTATACAGAATATCTACAGTACTGTACAGATCAGTATTACTCATCTGTACTACTATATGTGTAAATTTATAATGAAATTGGAAAAAATAACCTTGTACAATACAGCATTTCATTTCAATCAATAATTCTCATTCAGATTACGTTTTAATACCGTTTACACACTAACTTGGTGTGATTATTATGAATATAATGTATGATTGTGACATTCATAATATGAAACAATTTTCAACATATTGTAATACTCAATGCACACCAAAAGATCCAGACAATATAAACTTCTAGTCATTGCCATAATTTGTCGAATAATAAAATAAATAATAAAATAAAATAAATAAAATAATAATAAATTGATACCAAAATAATTATAACTCGGACTGATCGGAATCTGATCAATATCTCATTATTATAATAAATCCCTTTCAATGATCCACTTTTATCATAGCGTAAAATGAAAACATTTTATTACAGAAATATTACAGAATTCAATTCATGATTTCATAATGCATTCATAAAACTTCACTATTATCATTGTGTTTATGAGAGAGATTCAACAATTGAAATTATTTAGCGTTACATTAATTGAGTGTTATTAACGGTTTGCTAAGAATTGGTTTTAAAATCGCAAACAAATATCTGAATTGAAGATAAGTCTAAGAAATGGACGAAAGGTACCAAAGAGGAAGCGATTCCGGGAGTCAGTCATTGGATGACTACAATTATGTCGACGACTATCAAAGAGCACCCGAAGTAGTAAATTCCTATTCGAGTGATTCGAGTCAAGACTTTCCATACGATATTCCAAAAGAGAATTCATGTCTGCGAGAAGTGGCCCCTAAATCCAACCGAAGAAGTGATGCCTACCAATGGAAGGATCAAAATCTTATGGATTACAATTCGTCACTCAATGGACTCGAAGTCGATTATAGATATCCGATTCAACCGTCAGTGAACGACATGAATGACTACATTGAGGCCACTCCTGCACCTGTATATCAAGACAAACGGTGGTCACGAGCGCCTGAAAACTACTACTGGCCTCAAGAATCACAGCAATGGGCACAGGAGTATATGCCACAAAAATTGCAGCAAAATTATGAGACTTATGGACCGGAAGAGTCGTATGGATCAGAAGAGTCTTATGGATCAGATTATCATAGTTTTGATTCCAAAGAAATGACAAATAATATGACTTCGGATTCATTTGCAAACTATGAGAGAGAATACTTGGATTCCAGTGCAGAGCCGCCACACTATGAATCGTATGAGTCGTCATCCGAGTCTTTGGCAGAATCTTCGGCTAAGTCTTCTTCTGGCACTGAGTCCGGATCTCCTCCAGAGTGTTCTTTCGAGTCTCTGTCCGACTCTCAGGACTCTGAAGAGCTTTTCAGAAGATTCCACGCGAAGAGTGGTTTGCCTTTAAAAGACCAATCAATGGAAACGAAGGGAAAAGCAGAAGTGAAATCCGTTGATCACAAGAGTGCAGACACTTCAATGCCGAGTGATACTGAAGAATCGTTTTCAGAGACATTTGGGTCAGAGTTTAGCCTAAATTCGGAATCGGATTCAGGAACCGATTTAAATGAATCGAAAGCATGTGATTGCAGTTTGAGAAGTCCTGACTCTTCAGCGGAATCTCTTTCTAATGAGTCGATTGCATCGAAACAAGTTTCGCGACTGAGTTTGGATTCGTTTGAAATGAAGAGTGACTCGAATTCTAGTGAAGACTACGCGGAGATATTCTCAGATTCAGCGAATTCCAGCACTCATTGGTCCGATTCAAGCGAGAAGTCGTCGGATGTGGTCTCGGATTTCGGTTCAAATCTATCCGATTCTTCGACTCCGATGTCTCTCCTCTCAAAGTCGTCATCCAATTGCAGTCTATTGTCGGACATATCGGTGTCAAACACTTCGCTCAACGAACTGCAAGATTGCCATCAAAAGACAAACTCAGATCTCGAAAAGAAAGACTTCAGTGAACCGATTGACGCCAAAGAAGAGGAGCTAATGGTTGAGAGCACCAGTTCTTTCGGTTCGGTCGACATACCAAAAAATTGAGTCAACATTTGTTTCAAGTTTTCATCAAAATTATTCATTTGATTTGCAAAATTAAATCCATTTCTAGTCATTGAAAAATAAATACATTTTAAAAACTTAAAAGCAATTTTTACTTAATTTCTTAAGAATTTAAAGTATTGTAATTTCATCGCAATTTTTATTTGTAAATATTTAATTACATAAAAGTTTCACTTAACACA